ATAAATAGGTTTTTCCCCGAAAATTATTCCCCGTAGGGCCGGGGCTGGTATTAAAAAATGCATCTCCGATACTGCAAGTGAAGGCGTAGTGGAACTACTTATAAGGTAGCATGATCAGCGATCACGGAGGAACAGTTCGACGGTTTGAAGTACAATTCGACGGTTATCTTCGGAGAGTATAAATAGCAGGAAGGACTTCAGAGAAGAGGACGGAAAAAAGATCTAAAGAAAACCAGTCTTACTTTACATATTCCAGTGTTATTTCCTGTCCTTTATATTTCTGTACTTTAAGTTCCTGCGCTGCACTTCATTTGTAGGAGTAGTTTTCGAGTATATTGCCGCTGTAATTCTCTACGGAACTAAGATCATTGTAAGTTTTTCATACTAATGAAATGCTTCAGTTTATTTAACTGTTCTTATGCTCAAGTTCTCTGAAGTCAAATTACCAGTAAGCCACCAGTGAAAGTCCTCTTTATTGAGGCTAAAAGAACCATAACATAATCGTCTGAATAATTGTTTGGCAATTACAATTCTGTAAGGACTGATTGATCCTTGCTGGCATGCTCATAATTACAAAAGTAACCTTCGAAAGCTAAAAAGCCAACATAATAGCTCAATATCTGACATAGTGGATCGATTAACCAGGGGACCAAACCAATCGTTCACTAGTGAGGGTGCTAATTAAGGTCGGAGGGGACTAGCCACAACAAATAATTTGCACGTAGAAGACTTTGAAGCTGAGACCATAGAGGAAACACACCCCTAAGCCCCAAGCCCAGACCGTCAGGTCAATCCTAAGATTCACTTAAAAACGAATTGCCCCTGCAAAGAATTACATTCTCCCCTTTCAATTTATAATTGCATAAGAAATTATCCTTCTATTAATAAATCATTAAATTAATTAATAATTTTTAATGATATCATAAATATATTTTAATTAAAAATTTTGATAATTTTATATTGTTACATAAGAGAATAGTTAAGATTTTATTTTTCTATTAATTTTGTTAAATAAAAAATCCTAATAAAAGTGTATTTATAATTTCTAGAACTACATGGAGCAATTCTTTTTATTAGTAAATCTTAGAGGGTTCATTCATAATTTACCTATTTTTGAATAAAATTATGGGTAATTCTATTTCCACATCATACAAACTCTCAGTACACACCACAAATAGTGTTCGGATATAAATTTTCGAACAAAAATCAAGTATTTGGATATAAATTTATGAACATAAAGCAGTTATTCGAATATAAACAATTGAATGGAGTGTATATTTGAACATTTTATTTTTGTTCAAAACTATAAATCTGAACATTTGAATTTTGTTCAAAAATTTATATTTGAATACCATTTATGATATCAGTGTATAGGGAAATTCTACTATGCCCACATTTTAATCAATTTATTTTTCTTCTTTAGTTATAATCAATTTATTTTTTAGTTATGACAATATTTTAGTTATGATTTATGATATATTTAGTTATGCCTCATGTAATGTTTGGTTTTGATTTTTTTTTTTAGTTATGACTAAAAGAATATATAATTATATTATTTTTCTTTAATTATAAAATGTAGATGATACACCTTTAAATAGTGTGTACCATAATCTTTTACCTGTGTATAACTTGTTCTCTTGTACAGGAACGGATTCAGGATTATGTTTTTAAGGGACTATTTTATAGTTTAAAAAATTAGAGGGACCATTCTATATAATTTTAAAATTATCTATAAAAAATTTAAAGGTACAAACTCTTATAATTTATAATTATTTTAAAAATTTTAATATAATATATAATACTTTTAAAATTTTTGAGATGCGGCCGCCCCGTAGCTGCCCTAGATCCATCATTGCTCTTGTATGATATGCGCATAGGATTTTCCTAAAATTATTTGCATAAATGACATGCAGGTTTACGTCCAACAAACAAGGCACTATGAGCGGTATTAATATGTACACGTGTCACCTTGTTACCTTTACCTTAGTCCGAAGTTATTTCATAGATTCGGCGTGCAACATCAACAATCTCCTTGACCAATCATATATATATATATAAAAGTAATTTTTTTTTCTTTTTTAAGTGAGATATTTTAAAGACTTATTTTTAAAATAAAAAAAAATTATATTGGCGTACATTTTTTATTTACATATAAAGTTCTACACAAATTTAATTTCAATTATAATAACTAATTTTAAATAAATTCTATTTGAGCAAATTTATTTTTTTAATATATTTTTCAAATTTATTTTATATTTATTTATTTGTTAAAATTTTTTATATAGTTGATATTTTAATTTAATTATTATGATATTTGATAATAATAAAATAATAATCTCGATATACAAATAAATAAGAATATGTTTAATTATGTGTATCGCATTGATCAAATTAATTTTTTTTATATTTTTTTATCTATCTTATTGATGTCTTAATATTAATTTATATTTTATTTTTTATTTAACTTGAAATTTTTGTTTACTGAAATATTTATATCTAATTTAAATTTTATATATCTCTATACAATATATATGAATAATTCAAAAAAAAAATATTAAAGAAAAAATCAATATTCTACATAATTAATTTACGTATTTTCTTCTTAATCCAATCATAACAAATTTATATTTAATATTTTACGCAAGTTTTGTGTAATTCTATTTCTACATATTTTTATTGACCAAATAAATATAAAATAAAAATAAAATTAAATAATTAGAATCAATTTTAGTTTTATATTACTAATTCTTTTTCTAATTTAATTATTATTTTTAATATCAAAATGAGTGTTTATTTTACTATCTTATAATTTAATATATATACATATATATATCATATGAAATCATTATATAATAATTACACTTTTATAACACGATAGAACTAAAATAGTCAAAATACTAAGATTATTAAAATAAATAATTTTAATTTAAAATTTAAATTTAAATTAATATTATTCTTTTGTAACACATATCATAATATAATATACTATAGCTTATAATCATGTCATAATTAGTATATTATAGAATTTTTTGGGGCAAATTACAAACACCCCCTCGAGATTTAGTAAAAATACAGATTCCCCCCTGAGGTTTGAGAAATTACAAATTGCTCCCTTGAGTGTCAAATTTTCATGACAAATTAGGGAAAATTATGGGAAAATTTGTATGAAAATAAAAACCTCAGGGGACAATTTGTTATGGAAATATAAACCTCAGGGGATGAGATGTAATTTCTCAAACCTCAAGGGAGAATCTGTATTTTCACCAAATCTCGAAGGAGGTGTTTGTAATTTGCCCAATTTTTTTCTTTTTGCAAAAACAAAAATATTTTGATACAAGCGGAATTTATGATTTTTGATAAATTTGATTAACACATATAATGATTTGATTTCAAATTGAGAAGATATCCTTTTTTTTTTTTTAAATAACTTTGAAATAAATTATTTTTATAAACCTTTTACATATAATCACACGCCTTGATAAGATTTTTCATGAGTCATTACTATATATGTTTCTATTTGACTTGTAATTATTAATTTTCATGAGTCATTACTAAATCTATTTTTATTTGACTTTTAATTATTAAAATTTTCTACACATAAAATATTAAAACTTAAAATTAATTTATTATTTTAAAAATAAATTTGCGTGGGTCTGCTAGTAATAGCAATTATGAAGAAAAAAAAAGTCAGCATAGACGAATATTTTTTAATAACTTTATCAATGTGTTATTAATTTAAAAATAACTACCATTTTGTTAAACATTTTATTAATTTAGTACATCATGTCAATACGTTGACATGTTTCGGGAAAATGTTTGGTGGCCACAAATTATGTGGTTCAAATGGCCTGAAAATGTTAAAACGACGCCGTTTTAACATTTTCGGAGTTATTTTGTACCCAAAACGACGTCATTTTAACATTTTTAGGCCATTTGAGCCACATAATTTGTGGCCACCAATCATTATCCCATGTTTTATTGGAAGGAACTGGCATCTCTCTGCCCCAGATTAGAGAGGTATTATTTGGTCTAATAGGGTTATTTTTAAGTCATATTTTGATAATTTGAGTTATTCATATTTTAAGATTTATTGAATATATTATTTTTATAAAAAATCAAGTCGATTGAATAACGATGATTATGTATTTGAATCAATTTTGTATTAAAAAAATATAAACGATGAGAAAATAAATAGTTTATACAAAATTGATCCGAACACATATTTTTTGTTATCCGATTCATTTATTTTTTACAAAAATAATGCACTTCAATAGTCTTAAAATATATACAATTCAAATTATTAAAACAAGACTTAAAAATCAACTTAGGCTCCGTTTGGCAAGAGCTAAACGGGGTTTTTTTGGCTATTTTAGTCACAAAAGACAAAATAGGCTATTTTAGCCACAAAAAATAAAATATTACATTCAACCCATAATCATTACATTATTCTCTCACAAAAAAAGTCAAAAAAGCCAAAAAGCCCTTTCCAAATCAAACTTTTTAGCCCAGGCTAAAATAGTTAAAAAAGTCAAAAAGTCAAAAAGCAAATTCACTTCCCAAACGGAGGTTGGAAAGATGACTTTTTGGCTTTTAACCAAACTTTTTGGGAGTGATTTGGGAAGTTGGTAAAAAGTTACTTTTAACCAAATTTTTTGGAAGTGATTGGACTAAAATACCCTCACTCAACTTAAAAAATTTACATTTCACCCAAACTTACAAAATATAAATGTTGAGGGTAGATATGTAATTTTACAACTTACTTTTTACACTTCCCAAATGACAACAAAAACGCCAGCTGCGTTTTGCTACAAAAACGCAATCCTTGCGTTTTTCTGTGTTCCCAAAAGAGCCCTAAATTGTCTAGTCCAATGAAGGATAGGAGACAATCCAGCTCCGTACCGAACTTACTGAATAATTTCTCCACCTTAGGGGTGAAGGTAGCTCTCATCCCCTGTCTCTCTATCTCTATCTCTATCTCTATAAAGATTTGTGTGGACAGGGTAGAGAATGGTACTATTGACAAGGAAACCAAAGTGGTTCCATAATTTTATACATTTCCCACTTGCCACCCCCAACTGCACCCCCACAAATATATCAATCAAAACTCTCTCTTGGCCCATACAAACCACAAGTGTTACAGATCTTCTTCTACTTATAATTTTTCCTTTTTTCTTTTTACAGATAGATCCATTGATTGCTAGAGAGAGAGAGAGAGAGAGAGAGAGATAATCTCAGACATGCTCACTTGATCTCACCTTACTAGCCATTTTATTGCACTCTCTCGCCAACATTCTCTTATATCTGCTTCACACCAACACACTCTGTCTCAAACAAAAAAAAAAAATTATACCCCTTTTTGATTCACATCCATCTCTCTCCTTGCACCAAGATCCAAAGCCTAATTACTAAATTCTGTTATCTTGATTGTAGTTTCTGTGTTTTTGGTTTTGATTTTTAGAGATGGGTTTGAGTACTAAACAGGTTTCTAGTGACGGGCATGATTGGGGGGACAGTTTGTTGCAGTCCGGTAGTGCTTTGGAGATTCCTAAGCCTCCGGTAGCGGTGGCGAGGCGGCTACAACTGCGGCATCAGCAATCAGAGCCACTGGCATGTCCAAGATGTGGATCTAAAAACACAAAGTTCTGTTACTACAATAATTACAACGAGTCTCAGCCTAGACATTTTTGTAAAGCTTGCAAGAGGCACTGGACTAAAGGTGGTACTCTCCGAAATGTCCCCGTTGGCGGTGGCCGGAAAAACAAGCGGCTCAAGACTGCCACCACCACCACCTCCACTACCACCGCAACCACCACCGCCACCACCGCCACCGCCTCTAGTAGGAGTAATACCCACGTGGGTATTCAAAATCAGCAAGAACTTGGTGGTGACCAGAAGAACATCTCTGAAATTCTTTATCACGCTTTCATTCATCCACCACATGACTCAATTAATGGTTCTGGCAATTTCAATCTGAAAAGTTTCAGTGGCAACAATGGAAACTTTTTGGGTTCAACTCTACCATTCACATTCTCAAGTTTGAGCTCTTTTGAGAGTGACCCATCTTCAATTCCCACCTCTTTTCGGTCTTCGGATTGTTACGAGTTCACCGGAGGGTTGGCTTTTATGGAGGAGGAGGACAGAACCATCACCACCTTCATCCCCACCACAACAAGCATTGCTACTCAGCCATGGCAAGTTGTTCCAACCACAAGCAGTGTCATGGACATGCCAAACTACTGGAATTGGGATGATATTGATACATTGGTATCAACTCAAGAGCTCAACATACCTTGGGATGATCATGATACTGATTTAAACCCTAAATCCTAAAGAAAATCTGATATATTATTATCAGTGTCTGTCTATGTATAGATCAGTTTGTGTTAATTGGTGTCTGTCTTTGATGGGTTGTTCTCTTTTCTTTTGTTTCAGTCTTCTTCTTAGATGTTTCACAAGGTTTTGTCAGAAAATCGAATCGATATTGGTCGCGGTGTAGATTGGTATCTGGAATATCGAACAATATCGGTTGACCTGGTCATCAATTTTCTAAATCATCAGCTGCAAAAATAAGAAAGGAATTTTTTTTTTTTTTATAGCAGCCAAACTGGCTATATCAACTGTGAATTGGATCATGAATCGACTTGATCTGATTTTCATTTCTACCAGTATACCGAGGTGTGTTGATATTGGGAAGCCGAAAAACCGATCTAGCCTATATTTAAAATAATGAAGTAACTCTCGTATGTCCATGTGTATTTGTATTGAGTTTGAGTGAAAACATCTATCGTAGTCCCTCTCAATCTGTAATTATTATAGTGAAATGTATACTGTTTGAAGCAGTCCTTTTTAGAATTTCCGCTTTTTCAACGTATGTGTCCATTAATTGTCCATTTGTGCTATCTTTCTTTCTCTCTTGTTATCTCTTGATGAAAGAACTTGTGTGGGTTGGTTAGGGTTATTCACCATAGATTTTGATGGAATTTGGATGGATATTGGCAGGTATGTGAGAGACATGAGGTCTCCTCCAGCTGGGTTGGGGCTGATGAGATGTGATGGAAAATTCTTAAGGATATGTATATATATTTGTGTGGCTATATTGAATGATTTCTTAGATTTCATTTGTTAATAAATTCATGTCCACATGTTGGGACAATTATTTTCTCCTCTTTGTCCTGGCACTGTTTGAATTATAAACTAGTTTATATAATTTGTGATGATCTTCTTGTTCTAATTTTTTAGATGATTTATGATTTTAACATTGCAATCTGTTTGGGGGAAAATTTGCCACAAGTACAAATGAGGTGGGATTGAATCAATGCCTTTCAACTTTCTTAACTCGGTCACCCTGCAATCAAGGATAGTAAGTCGTTATTACTTGGAGTGATTAGTTAAAAACACTGTGCAATGTTGAAAAGTGATTATTCAATTGATTATTTTTTATTTTTTATTTTTTCATAAAAGAAGAAAAAAAATGATATAATTAAATGTTTTGACTATTTTAGTCAAAAACATCACCACCCCAAACAGGACTGGTTACTTTTTTTAGGGAGCAGCTTCTCTAGGTTGCTGTTGGGCTTGTGGGGGCCATCACGGGTCCTATTTCAATAATCCTATCCGTTCAATGTGTAGAACTTATTGACTACTATATGCTTGTAAAATATCACGTTAATCGGATATCGATAGTTATGTGATCAAATCCGTTTTATATGAAAAAAATAGACGGTAAACAAATTAATGGTTGATAGAAAACTGATCTGATGAAATAGCTATCAATATCTAATCAACGTGGTTTTTTACAGGCATATAGTACTCGACGATTTCTACATATTCAACAGCCTGAATTATCAAAACGAAATCCGTGATAGATTCCCACGAACCTAATAACACACTCCAATCCGATTTAAGACCGGAAGGGAAGCTGCTCCCTGTTCTTTTGAAGGGGTATGGGCAGTGGCGGAGCCAGAAAATCAAATTAGAGGGGGCACTTATTAATTATATTATTGAAAACTTTTACAAAAATATTTAACGCAAGTTTTTACGAAATTGATTTCGAGGAACATAAAAAAAAAATAATGTTATTTATAACTAGTGTATCATGGACAATATAAAAAAATATGGATATAAGTCTTAAAATAAATTATATAATGATTAAAAAAAATTTATACAAAATTTGATTAAAAATTCAATATAATGGTAATACCACGCCATCATTATTATGTGATATCACCAATTAATAGTAAATAAACACATAGAGAGTGAACCTCACATGTTAGATGTAACTAACAATTCAATAAATTTCATATCTTTATAATGAGATTAGTTATACTTGCATGTCCATAATAATGACATCACCGTTACATTCAAAATTTTTCATAAAATTTTCATAGATGATATGGTTTAGAATAGTCTCTTCATTTTCATTCAAAACAACCATTATTGTTCTCATAATTTTTAAAATGTCATTGACATTTCACTCTAATAATGTTTTTGTAATTTTTTTTTATTTAAGATTTTTTCTTTATATTTGCAACAAAACAACAACAACAACAACGCCCAATTAATACACATTAATGTGTGTTTGGGAGGAGAAAAATTGAGTACACACCTAACCTTTGACATAATACACAAAGTGTTGGTCCCAAGACTTAAACTCATAACTTTAAGGTTATTAGGCCAAATTTTAACCATTAAATCAATAATCATCCTCTTTCTTTATATTTGCCAAAAAAGAAAATTCAAAATTCAAAATTCAGGAGGGCACGTGACCCCCCTCCTCCCTTGCTGCCTCCGCCATTGGGTATGGGCCTGATACTTAAGTCATGGTAGGTGAAACTCTCAATACAACGTTATGATCAGTCAAAATTGTACCTTTATCATTAGGCTAAGGGCACGTTGGTTTGACGTTTTAGGTGGTGACATTAGATTAATAATTTTGTGAGTTTCACCAAATATATTTTTGGTTGCGTTATATGTTAAGGGATTATGAGTCTCATAGTTGTCAATTCTATTTAGGAGTAAGATTTATTATGTTTGGTTTTAATTTTTTGGAAATTAAGTTTTTTTATTTTTCGTGATTTTTTATTTTTAAAATTTTCAGCAATTTTTTTTTTTTTAAATACTTTTTTAGATGTATTTTACTTAGATGCATCTAAATAGTAAAATATTTATAAAAAATCAATAAATACATTGAAAAGCCCCATGATCTTGTAAATATTGATTTAAAAGTTTCAAATCAACCAAGCACAACAATAAAAGAGAGGACAAAAATCAAACAAAAACACAAGAATTTTTATATAGAAAAATCACAGTTGGAATCCTCTAACAAGTGATTAAAAAGTCACGGGCCCTCGGCCACAATAACAATCCACTGAGAACAAGAGTAGCATAAGAGATTTCTTACAACAACTAATCCAGGCACACACACTTACTCGAGACCTCCAAGTAATTGAACTCTGTCTTTCTATATGTGGAGATGTCGAATCCACGGCTAACTCACACCTTAAGACCACTCACAAGTTGTTTGGTGAATAGATTTAAACTTGATGATTTCATGAAATAACAAATGATTATGAATCATCAAGCAAATATAAGAGAAATATACAATGACACCTTACTATAGCATTCTCTAAGAATACAGACTAAATATACAGACTCAAGGGTTAAAACAACACATTTGAACGCGCCTACTATAAATAGGCAAAACACCTTCGCGGGCGCGAGACCCTATCACAGGTTACAAAAGAAAACTTCTGGGAGTGTGTGTCTTCGTGGCCCTGGTCGTGGCCTGGTCGCAGTTGCCGATATGCACATTGCGAGCGCGATGGGTATGATTGCGGGCGCGAATGAGAGTGGCAAACAAGCTTCAATTTCTGACTTTTTACTGTCTTTTCTTTTCTCCATGTTTTAAGGCATAAAATTGTAATTTTTTTCTAGAAAACCAGCCCCTTCTTTTTCCCATGCTTGCCAACCAAGTCAATCCTACACTTTTGAGAAAATCAAGACATATTCAAGATAATCATTCATCACATAGTTGTTTTGTCAATAGAGGAATTTGTCAAATAAAAACTTATAGGATAAAAATCTTAACAATCTCTCCCTTTGGCAATTCCGAGACAAAAACCAATATTCCATCAATGCACATAGTCATTAGCTACAAGTCCCAAACACAACAATATATACACAAATGAGAAAAATGAACTGAACCAAACCAAAAAATTATTTTATAAAACAAACCAAAACATTATCCATAAAATATCCAAAAACCAAAATAACAAACATCCATCAAATAAATCCAAACTCCCAACATCCATCAACATCTATCATCAAATACTCCCCATTTTTGTTCAAAATTGACAAAGCAAAAAATACAATCAAAACAAGTAGAAACAATCGAAAAGAAAACAACAAGAACTAAGATGAAACAACGGCACAGAAACAGTCATGGTGGAGGAGGTAGGTGAAGGAAAGAGCACAACTTACGCAGTTGCTCAGCAAGAGAAGTAGAGGACTGATCAAGTTGGTCAAAGCGTGCTGTCACCTTGATGGGTCGTTTCGCATACCAAAAATAAACACTAAATTATACCAAATTCCTTAGAATAGTAGTAAGTCTAGGTAGCGATCCACAGGAACAAACGGGAAATTAAACTAATTTAATTTCTAAATTCCTAATTCAATTTTGATTAAAAAGATGATGATTCATAAACGAGTAATAACTAAAATAAACTAAGAGATTAAACTAAGCAATTAAAAGTAAAATTGGAATTTACTGATTTTGAGAAAAACCTAGGGTAATGAATTCACCACTAGTTATATAAATAAGGCTTCAATTTGGGACTCAATTATGTTATGGTTCGAACTAAATAATATTTTGCAACTACAAGCTCAAAGTATTTATCAAAATAATTAACATGTTTAATGTATAGGCACAAACCATCTCAAGTAGTACTAGTCGTTCGCTCTAAACTAGGGTCGCAACACGACTCGTCCTTCGTAGTATAGCTTGTCTCATACCTTGAGCATGAAAGAATAGAAAACCATTGTATGGAAAGCATTCAACAATCACAAAAAGAAGAATACTTGAAGAAATAATGAAAAATTATATTGAAAACTTCTTGAGAACCATACAACTGTTCAAACCATTACATAAAAGAAAACCTATTTACTTGGCTAGGGTTTCATCAGAACCCTAGAAATAGGAGCCTAGCCACCCATGGAGGCGTGGGAAGAAGTAGAAGAAGAAAAAGCCTCCATGAAATTATCCTTGAAGCCTGAGAATCCCCTCTTTTCAAACCCTAGCCTCCCATTTTCCTTGAAATATTTTCCCCCTCCTAAAAGTAGCCTCTTTTCTTTCTTTTATTCCCAGCAGAATAGACTAAAATTTTCGCGTACGCAACCCTAGGTGGACCACTCGAGCGGCTATAATCTCCACTAAAGCGATGGTGGGCCGCACGTGCGGTGAGGTGACAGGCGAGAATTGTCACTATTCGCACGGAGAATCTGCTTTTGTGCCACTTTTTGCTTGAATTTGCGCGGTGCCTGCTAAATCTGTACAAGTGCACAAAACACATCATCTCCACCAAATAAACAAAATTTAAAAACTATAAATGTAACTTAAGCGGCCTCAATGTGGTACCTTTCAGCCTATATCACATCCCCCAACTTACATTTTGCTAGTCCTCGAGCAAAACAATAGAAATAAAAAAAATAAAATACTCTAAGCCACTTTCGTAGGGCTCACGATTGGATTTAGCATATGCAAGAAGCCTTTAAACCACAAAGTTATCCTAAGTGGACGAGTATAGTCTTGTGAGGGTTTCTAGAAATGATACCCACAAACATTAACATATTCACATTTGCCCAACAATAATTAATCACACTACACTACTGAA